GAAGTGTAGAACTAAGTAAAGAATGACAAAGGGTTCATGACTGGGGGAAAAGTGCGACAATATCCTTACTTTGTCACACTATTCCCCACTTCCACACCTCTGAGAAGTGTAGAACTAAGTAAAGAATGACAAAGGGTTCATGACTGGGGGAAAAGTGCGACAATATCCTTACTTTGTCGGACTATTCCACACTTCCACACCTCTGAGAAGTGTAGAACTAAGTAAGAAGTGAAGAAACTCTGGATTTCATGGCCAGTGCTGGACATGGCTCAAAAAATGGCAATGGAGGAGAGCGCAAGCTAGCGATGAAGCCCAAAGGAGAATGGGCAGAAACAATAGACCTTTCTAGCTTGTATGCTTTGTTTTCCCATTTGAGACCATGTGATGGTACCCTGGAGAAATCTTTCATCCTATACACGTGCATCCACGGGCATATGTAGTGTATGCATAGCTTATGAAATAACAAATGGCACATTCCCTGTAAAAGCATCACGTGGTCCAGGCGCGAACTGGCCTGTGGTTGAGGTAGCCCAAGCTCGAAATATGAGCATCGGCGAGCATCGTAGACCGTTCACAGTCCTCTATTTTTCCGTAAGATCGTCGAGATCGAGCGCTTTGCGTTTCAAGCTGCATCTTGCATGAGTGTCAAAACTACTTAGGGTACATTTTCAAGAAATCAAGATGGCCGTCATAAACGGTAAGACGCGCTATATCTCAACGCTCTCACGAAAAAATTGGGGACTGTGAACAGTCTACGAGCATCGTCATTGTTGCGTAACATTTGAAATATAAGGATTTGTATGGGAGAAAAAACCTATCGTTTCTGTAACCAATGAAAATGAAAGGATTTCAATAAAAAAGAGCTTGCTTTACATAAAATGTGTTACATCTCTCCTGTGTGGTCCATGGACCAATTTATGGCCGTGTTATGGGTTGTACTGTAAATGGTTTTCTCTCTCTCTATATATATAAAAGTTTGTATAGAGCGAGAAAACCTGGCCCAGTTTCCAATTGGGGGGCTACAAAGCATTCGAATACTTCTTTTTGGTCGACTGCTTGAAATTGTCTTCTATCTCCTTGGTTAAACTGGAAGAGAGTTTTTTTAGCTTACTAGTTTCGCACAGAGCGATCCCCTTTTTTCTGTTCGTTTTGGTGCACACTGAAAAGCCTTTCCTCACATGATTTGTAGCAAAAGCAAAAGGAGGACGCGAAACAGTAACTTCAGCGACCTGCAATAAACACGAATATGCAATGAGATGTGGAATGGTGAAAGTGATCACTGTTCACAGGTGTAGACAGTGGCATATTCAGATGCATTGAATGTAGTTCACCGCCAAGGCATCGACCCATACCCAGGGGATGGGAGGATCAGGTAAAGGACAGGTCGCTGGTCAGGCACTACGAGATGTAAAATGCGCACAATACAAGGAGCTGGGGTAATACTGTAAAAAAAAAACGAATTGTCGAAAAGCCTGTGTAGCCGGCGGGATCGTTAGCGCAAGCAAAGGTTTGGCAGGGGAGCTGCTGAGCCGTGCGGAGAATTGGGAGCAGACGCCTTAACCGCTTTCGACACTAGCTTCTCCAAAACTCTCAAAACAAATCCGCTCAGTGCAGGCTAGTTGTGGGGTATGTCGCCCCATGTAATGGGATTCCGGATTCCGGAATCCGGGAAATTTTTGGTGGTAGAATCCGGAATCCTGGGCTTTGGAATCCGGAATACAGCTCAAGGAATCCGAAATCCCACTAACGATTGGAATCCAAAATCCAAGGTCCACTTAACGATTCCAGATTCTAGGTAGTCCACGGCGAAGAAATTAAGAATCCCAGACTGTCCTGGATTCCCTTACATGGGGCGAGGTATCCATTGTTGTGGAAATCTTTCTTGTTTACGGCGGTTTGAGATCGAAACATATAGTGTCTTTTGCAAGGTGTGAGAGGTGTTTTGTCTAGTTTTGCGAGGGGAATCATATCCTGGCGTATATTTTGTGGCAACCTTCCAAAGCCAGGGAAAAGCCCCCTGGAGACGAGGTCGGCCATAGTAATTAGGAAAAAATCCGTTCCTTCACTGTTTCTTGTTGAACTCCGGTCTGTGTGGTAAGATTAAACTGGCCGGAGAAATCTGAGTAATACAGCAAAATTGGCTACTGAGCAGGGGCACCCAACGTCAATTTTTTGTAAATATCTGTTCGGAAGTTCGGAAGACGATTTGAGATCTAGATTTTTCGGAACATTTGTTGCAAAAATCATCCCTTGCCTGCCTCTCGTAGGATTTTCGAACATCTAAAAAATGGTATAATTGCCCATTCTCAACGGATTTTTACCTCAAAAAGGTCACCTAGAATTTTCGGGAGCCTTTTTTCTGGCTGAAATGTTCGAAAAGGTTTTGATCCCTATAATTTTCGGATCACTAGATGAAAAATTTTTAGGGGATAACAATATGCCTATATCTACCGTTTAAATACTAAAATACGTTCAACAATGCTGTGTTTAAGTGGTTTTGAACTATATTCTCGTTGGGTGCCCCTGACTGAGGTATGTTGCTTATTGCTGCTCACTAATATCGATTAACAAAAACAGAAGTCCAAAGTTTAAAGTCGAAGTGGGTTATTGCGCTAAATTGGAAGTCGGAAGTAAGAAATCAGATCAGAAGTGGAAGACGGAAATCGGAAATCAGAGGTAGTATCTCTAGTCTCTCCTCGGCTAAGTACGATACTGGCGGTTAAACTAATCCCCGACGATTTTAGTTTTTGTTCGCACACTCCGACGATCTCTGTAATAAGAAAAGTCTTAATCAGGAAGGAATGTGAACTCTGAACAGACTAGTCACATCCGTTCACAATAAGAATTTTTTAACAAACAAGGGCAAAAAAAGCCTGTCCTGCGTGGCCATAAAAATAGACATTCGAACAGAGAGAAATAGTGTAATGAACATGATGGACGGACAGCCGTAGGAAATCCAGCCGCGCTAAGAAGCCCTCTTTGTCAGAAAAATAAAGTAAATTCGCAGCAGGAAGTCGATCGAACGCAAGGCATGAGATCAGGAACCGCTCCTGCGGCTTGATGCTATTAAAAGATTGATGAGTCGCCTGCGCTCGCATTGCTGTTACGCGATGAAAGGAATTCAGAATTCCTAAAAGGTCCTATAAGATTTTTCTATCTAACAAATGCTATGAATGCTCGAATTAGCCCCCCCCCCCCCCCCCCCTCCCCCCCCCCCCGGCGCCAAAAAAAAACCCAAAACCCCCCCCCCCCCCCCCCCCCACCCCCCCCCCGGTAATTAACATCCCCTACGCCTCGATCGGCACATTTTCGACGTATAACGAAGAACTGATCTAGTTGGATACCTCTGAAAGGGACGACGAAGCCCCCCCTGGTGGTGTTTGTGTTTGAAAAAATAGTGGAGGCCCCGCGCCCCGCCTTGGTTTTCCGCGAGAAAAGAAATATAAATATCCCAAAAATCCTTTAAATATTTTTTTTTTAACAAAAAATTTTAAATTCCCAAATAGCCCCCCCCCCCCCCCCCCCATTCGGCAAAGCCTAGAGGCCGAAATATAACTCCATAACTCCCCTCCCGCCATAACTCCCCCCTTTACCGGATATACGATATGTACATGGCTAGAGAATGATGATTTGAGGACATAACAAGGACGGATGTTTTTGGCACAGTTCCACTGACCGTATGGTGCCTGAGGACCCTTGAGGATAGATTTTACAACACAAGTAGCCCAAGCGGCAAATATCACCATCCGGCCCTACTGCATAACCGTTCAAAATACAAAGGATTGTATGGAGAAAAAACGAATGTTTATGCAAACCTATGAAGGGATTTCATCAATTAGTGGGTTACAGAAAAAAATCGTTTTCCCCCGACAGCATCCTTATAGTTGGAAGGATGCCGCGACAGTGCCAAAGGTCATGAGTTTGGGGCACCTGTGGTCACAGCAAAGCAGAGAAAATCTTTCAATAAGAACTACCGAGACCAGGTTTTATGAGCCCGCGAGACTGAGCACCCCACCCAAATCCTTGTTTTCACTAAAACAACTGAACGCAGTAAAGTCAGCCTTTTCGATATTTTCCATACATTTCCCTTAAATTCAAACATTTGAGCGTTACACAGTTTGTTTGGGTCTCCTGTGGAGGACCAGATTTCGATGACAGTCAAGGGATGACGTCAGTACACTTCAAGGAGACATGAAACGTTGACATAATTATTGTTGACATGGTAGAAAAATATTTAAAAATTGGAAAATTGTACATCTACGTAAAAACTGGTCGCATAATGGCCAAAAAGAAATATTGGAAATTATTGGCTAAGTTAGATTTTAATAAATAAATAATTTTAACCGGAATAATTGAAGTTGCTGTTCACAAATTTTTCGAGGTAGGAGTTCTATTCTCTAATCAATTGGGAAAAACTAAAACTCAAGGACGTCTCTTTTTTTCGATCTCCCCTTCGCCGTTCTCCGACTTCTTCTCTCCTGAAAAAAAGAACGCCTGATCGCGGCAGGTTAGATTCGAGTCGACATTAATGAGCGGAATTCCGGTAACACTTGCGAGGCGACTTTGGTTCTCTGTGGAAAACCCACAGCCTGCAGTCAGTCCCAATTAATGCCTTCCGCTGCCATTACCCCTTCTCGCTTCGTGACTGAGCCAAATATTGGATCAACCGCACTAGGGAGGCCTGGGTACGAGATCATGACAAAGCGCATCCGGTCCGATACCCAATGACATCATTTCCGGTGTCATATTTCTGTCTTTCAGCAGCTATTCATGTTGCAACTTTCGGTATAAAGTCCTCATTCAGAATAGCGTCAGTTACATTGCTCAAGCTGTGGAGAAGGCATCATAGAGCTTGAACTCAAGATGAAGTTTGCCGTAGCTTTTCTCCTTGTTTGTGTGGCTCTTCCACAAGGTAAGCTGTACTGAAGATCATTGCTTTTTTTCTAACTCCTTTGTTTTTTTTTTTTATGATTAAACCAAGATAAAAAGAGTAGAAGGGTCGATCAAACAAGTCAATTTCGACAGGAAACACGCGCGATGCTTGTCCTCCTTGAGTTATTAACATTTGTGAGGCGTTTGCAAAGTGAAAAGCACTTTTCCACTTGCATCTTTGCACGAAAGCAGCAATTTTGTTCATCAGAATTCACGGACTGACGATCCTGCCAGTTTTTTTAACGTAAAATATGTGAATGCCCTTTGACGCAATACGACCTGCGAGTTAAATTAACAAAAGATAACTGCGCAATAGATACATCACTACATGTACGAGAGTTTTCTGAGCATATTGTTTGAGGCAATTCCTACAGAAAACCCAGAAATGTAAGTGATATCAGCTCGCAATCGAAGTCAGCACTGTATCCCTAACAATGATGGCTGAAAACGAAAGCGGAAAAGGTTTTTTACGCTGAAAATTCCAGCAGTACTTGACGACAAAATCCCCCTCAAAATCCCTCTCAGCAGCTGAAATTGCTCTGGTCGCCCCGCCAACTCACGATCACGTTTTACTCTGTGGCCGGGTATATTATATGTATCAATATACCCTTTTTTAAAAGCTATTCAGTTTTCTAAGTTTTTTCCTTTTCTGACGGAACTCTAAGTTAATTTTGCCGCAGTACTTCCCTCGCCCTCAGGGCAATAGCCGTCTCTCTCCTCTGACAGGCAACACAGGGGAAAAAGGCGAATAAAATCAAACTAAGCTCGACAGACTGCTCATGTTTTTTGTTTAGTTTTGTTTTCCGTTTTTATGCTTTCTGCCTCGTGACAGTCGATGAGCAAAACTGACTAAAAATGAAAGTTTTAAAAAAGAGAAAAAGCAGAACCTTGCCAAGTTGAAATCTGATCCCGGTAAAAAAAGAGTACACAAGATACCTAATACCCCTTACAGTCCTCGGGTCGAAGTCCGAAGTCTGAATTCTTTGTTTGGCTCAAATCCCGAGACACAAACATCCTTTAACAAATTTGTTGCCGTTGCTCTAGACAAAACAGCCCTATTTTTGCCTAGGTTAAGAACGCACCCTCGAACGGTCAACTGTCTCTGGAGTAAGGGTTAACACGGAGAAAGAGACGCAAATACTTCTTCTCTCGCCACACGAACCATACGCGGGTGTGAGGCCAACGTGCTTCGCGCGAGGATATTACGCCGGGAAGCGCAGAAGACTGCAGTCTGCTGTGTGCATGTTTCAGTGAGGGTGTGAATTTCTGATGTCTTAGGGAATGAAAATGTTGAAGTAGTTGTTGTTTTGTAGTTGTTAGTTTCCCTTGTTGTTCTCCTTCCTACTATTAAAGTGAAAGGGCGAAAGAAAATTTTTCCCAAAGCCTATCTTCGTTCAGGAGGCTTGATAGGCTTCTTGCCCAGGGGATTTTCCCTTTCTTTCTTAAGTTAGGCGCGTCCTCACAGTTGTAGCCGAACTAAACTTGTGCCAAAAAACATGCTGAATTTCCCAGTCACATTGCCTTCGCATGACATCCCGCTGATTGTCAACGCGGATGTAGGGTAGAAGTGCGGGGACATGTAAATCCAAGGGAAAGGGCATTTCTGGAAAATCGAGGTGGGAAAAATTATGCACTCTCACTTGTTAAGTAAATACGTTCACAGGAAATGACTACTTTGTAAAAATAGTATCAAATGCTCTTTGACATAAAAGAAAACTCTAATCCAGTTTCGTGACTAGAACTACATTTTTTTTTTTGCGGCCAGAAACAAAAACGAAAATTGATGCTAATCATATATCTGAAGTTGTTTATTTTTGTTTCGTTGTTCTTAGTATTCTTGGTAGATACTCCCCGCTACGATACTTAGTTAAAAAAATGTTCGCTGAAAAAGATCTCATAACATGACTTAAACACTTAACGCCGTTTTAAGGGTATTTTAGCCCCCCATTCTCCATCCGGGATATGGTTCTGAAAGTCTGATAAGTGCTAATCCCGGATTTAAAGTTAAATCCATGATTGTACTTGTTTTAAAGTATCATTTTGTGTTATCATAACTTGTTCTCGGCTTCCAGTGAAAACTTCACAATATTAAAAGCTCGCAGCTAAATATTACCACAAGCGAAAAGAATTATGGGAACTGCCTTTACGCTGCACTTTCGGTTAGACGGGTGATTGCGTCTTTTTTCGTTGAGAAAAACAGAGAATACCACAAGTCTTTGAAAACGTTTAGTACCCGTTCACTGCGAGATTGGATAGTTATCGAGTAGAAAAACAAAAGACTAGATGAAACTGCATGCAATCCATAAGAAATCCTGAAATAATGTCATTTAAATGGATAAGGTGGAGGTCAGGCATGTTAATCTTTGGCTCCTGTGGATTGGTATGCAAAGAAAAGACGAAATAAAAGAACATGACGGGACAAGGGGCGTTTTTAATACTTCCGATTCTTTCGAATCCTTTCCCGCTGTTATTGCTGTTTTTTTCGATGTCGTATTAAATAAAGAAACCTTGAAAAAGATCTTTAAAATGCTTTTCAAACAAAACAATTGATCTCCAAACCTATTAAGGGTAGATTCATCATCCTCCTTTATTTACGCGGCGTTCTCATTGATTTAGAACCGTCTAAAATCATATGTTTTAGAAGAGTATTACACTTGTTAATCGCAAGTACGTATCTAAGGGTCAAAGTCCGAATCGATCAAATCGAATTCCGTTACCCACCTCTAAGAGATTTGCTTTTTTTAAACAGCAAAACAACCCGTATGCATGCGTAGATCAAGAATGTAGGACGCGGACTCCTCGAAAACCCAACCGATTAACCGACGTTTTGCATGTATATTTTGTGCTCGGTACATAATCGCTCCTGGGGTAGGGATATTCATATCGCTCTTGAGAGGTAAAAACTGCCTTACCTCCTCAGCGCTTCATTCCCTGCTCGGCGTGACGATTTTCAGCCCATGTGAGGGAATCCGGATTCTCTGAATCTAGGAAATTTGGACATGTGGAATCCGGAATCCAAGTTTCACTGACAAAGAATCCGGGATCCAAGATCTTAAAATGAAAGACTGTCCTTGATTCCCTTGTATGGGGCGACCATTGACTGCGTTTCTTTTGAAGTCGGGGATGTTTGTGGTTCTCTTAGCTAGGCGGCGAAAAATAAATTAGATTGCAATCAGTGTTGCCTGTATATGTTCGTATTCAGGTTTATTCCAATAAAAGACAGGGAAATTTCGCTCTAAACGTTTTAGTGTCTCATTTGGCGTGTTTGTTCGGTGTTGTCATGAATGAAAACCAGCCACGTTAAGCTTATTTGATAAGTTAAAGATAGCTAAAGCATAACTGGGGGGGTAATTAACGAAGTTTTATACGGGGAGGCTCCACCTTGAGATGCAACCTCTTACCCTTATAATATATACCATTTTTGACAGAACACTTCAACAGGGACCCCTTTCCTTTACCTATAATTGACAAAATGATATTCTTTTCACATACCTAGTTTACAACTTTGCATTCCTTTTAACTGCTGTTAATGTTCAAATGTGTAGTTCCAGAAAATATCCATTCCCCGCCTACGGAGAGAAACGGAAATTTCAATGGGGGTGGGGTAGGAAATTTCCAAGGGGGTGGGGGTGGTTTCTCGAGGTCTTTTGTCCGGGAATTCCGAGTAAGATTAATAAATTATCAAAAACTAACAGCTGCTCTAATGAGCAAGCTATCAGTTATTTTACTGTTAACGGTCTTTTAAAACAAAAATTATTGTATTCATCGATGATCTTTTATTTACGGTCGGCTGAATTTTTTCTTTTTTTCACGGCTTACGCCATAAATAGTTGTCATCTGCTCTTGAATAAACTTCCGGTTATCTACCACCACAACATATTGTGATATTCACCGCAATGTGATCGTGTTTTAAGCCTTCTTCTAACATGTTTTTAACTGAAAGGGAGAAATTAAAGTCCACTCGATGTTTAGTTTGAATATAAATAGTTCTCATTTGTGTCGTGTCGGCTCCTGGTCGTGTAAGGTATCACGTCCACGGTTCTCATTGACGTACCGTTAATTTTTAACTAACAAAAACCTATATATACATGAATAAAAGGATTTTTCTCTCCTTGTCGCATAAACGATTAACTTTCGCATAATAATAGTATAGTGCAACACTATTTTAGTCGCAAATCTCTTTTCCAAGGGGTGCCTAACCAAGTTGAAAAATTGTGGAAATTCCAAGGGTTGGGGGAAGGGAGGGGGGTCTTACAAGTCTTACTCACTGGAATTGAAATTCCAAAAAGGTGGGGCGTCTAAGGCAAAAGTGTCCTCCGTGAGGGGTATGGATATTTTGGGGAACTACACAATATGAATAAATCACAAAACGTGAGCGTTTTCTCGACTTTTTCACCACCATATACTGCATCTCTTAGCACTTTTAGGCCTCTTGCAAACCGAAATGACAAATTTCCCACCCCTTCCATTTACTTCAATTAGTGAAATCTTAAAAAAGGTACGGCCTCTTTCGGGCCCAGCCTCCCTGTATAGGCCATTATAGGGAGTACCCCAGGGTAGTGGACCTGGTACTGAAGTGTTTTCATATTTTTTAATGTTGCACCAACAGCCTTTGGATTCTTTGATAAGCTTCCATCCTTCGAAGGCTTAAAAAAGACTGGAAATAGAGTCTTTGAGGAGGCAGGCCAACATGTGGAAACGATCAGAGACGAAGTACAGAGGCACGCACAAAATGTTAAGAAAACCGTTCAAGAAAAGGCAGAATCTGCGAGAGAAACCATCAAGCAGAGTCGAGAATCCCTCGAAGAAGCCATGGAAGAACCTACTAAAACGTTAGAGGAATCAAAAGAAAAGATCATGGAAGTGATACAAGAGATGAAAAACAACACGCTTGGGGAATCAGTAGAAGAGTTCGTGGAAATGTTACGAGAGATGAAAAACAAAACGCTCGGGGAATCACAGGAAAAGTTCGCGGAAATGGTGCGAGAGATCATGAGAAACAAAGTGTTCGTGGAATCAAAAGAAAAGTTCAAGAAAATGGTGCGAGAGATCATGAAAAACAAAGCAGTCGTGGAATCAAAAGAAAAGTTCAAGGAAATGGTACGAGAGATGAAAAAAAGCGGTTCTTGGGAAGAAGGAAAGAATAAACTGAAGAAAATTATAGATGAGGCTGGCGAACGAGGAGAGGAAATGAAGAAGAGATTTGAAGAGAAAAGAAACAACTTGCGCGTGGTTGCAATGGAGGTTAGTACTGTAGGCAAAATACACGCTTTGTTGTTTCTATTCGGAAAGTTAGACCCTGTTTAGGACAGGTTCAGTTCAAAATGTATACCCTGTTCAAAAGGGCAGCAAGCCCCCCTTAACCCCCCCCACAACCCCCCCCCCCCCCCCCCAACCACACAAAAAAAAAAAAACAAAAAAAAACAACTCAAAGCAATATTAAATAACTACGGTACAATAAAACGCAGATATTTCCGTTTTTGTCTTCGTGGCTAAGAGTAGCAGGCGGCGCACCACGCACACCCTCACCCACTACATACTTCCTCCCCCCCCCCCCCCCCCCCCCCCCCCCCAAAGAAAAAAATGCAAATCAGCGAAAACAATTCAAGTGGTTGAGTTGCGTTTAAAAATCCGTTAGCTTGCAATCCAGTGGTTCTGTCGCTTTTTGGAACACGAGAGAATACGAGAGCGTCGCGCAACAGTCCACCTTTCTCGCATCTCTTGCCTGTAAAAAAGCTGTTCGCAGTCTACCGGACGCCTGGGCCAAACACTTTCGCATCACCCATAAAACACCTTGTTTGACCCTCCAAAATGATGTAAAGCATTGTCTGTAATTGTTCTGCACAGAACCGTGTCCCTTCCTAGTCTTTTGAGGGTTGCCTGACAAGACAAATACGGCTGCGAGAGAGGGAGATCAATCCCTTGCCCCAATCCCCCAAATAGAAAGCATAATTCGCATATAATTCGCAAGGGCAGCTTCTTAATCTGTTCCATGTTTTTATGTTGCTTGACTGCACCAACATCGAGGATATTTGATAATTGTTTTTTCTATGTTCATTAACTTCAGGTAGCCCTACCCCCACGTGCTTGCAGGATTATTTTCTGTGCATTGTCAAATCAAAAAACCAAAAACTTAGGAAGCGCGCCCTCTTTTGAGCGCCGTCCTATTTCTTCCGGCGCTAATTCGACGAAATTTCCTGACAAAGGGCGCCATTTTTAATTTTTTTCCAGCGATGGCAGAAAGTGAAGGAATTTTACGGAGAGCGTCTGGAAGAAGTTAAACAGACTATCACGAGCCTAGAGGAACAACTTGAACAACAGATGCCCGACAGACCCTTTGAGGAGTTGAAATCCTTCAACATGAAAATAAAAGATCTTTGCAAGTAAGCAACAGAATAGATACGAGGAAAGACGGCAGGGAGGCTCGCAAATTGCTCTCCTTTTCCCCCCTCTTTTCTCGCCTCGCTTGTCAGTACGGAAAGCGAGGGGCATCACCCCTTCCCCTATCCCCTGGCACTTGCTTTTGCCCGTTTAGCTCGGTGGTTGAAGTGTACCTGACATCTTTCAAATTCTTACGAAAAAATCTCCCCACAAGTCAAATTTGACTAAACTATGGTTTCGTAAGTCGAATCTTCCTCCTATAACTGCTTTTTGTTGTCCCCATGTTCTTTCCGTTTTCAAAAATTTCGAGGATTTAATGCTGAGCATACGCAAGAGGGGGGCGGAAAGAAAAAGAAGGCAAAACGTTTGTGAGCAACAAACATCATAGGGCTATTACTTGCGTATTTTGTCGTCGTATTTTTCACCTATACCATAACTTTGATCTGGTCTTTAACAAAAGGTGAAGGTGAAGTTTCGCGGAAAATTTGTTCAAACATAACTAATATCACGGATGTCAAACTAGGTTTGCCGTCTCTTTAGTCTTCCCCTTCCGTCTTGTTGGGTAACTTTACTAATCAGTTCCAAACCAAAAGGTTCGATTTTTTCATCCACAGAAAGGTAAACTACTGAAAATACAAGTTTTTCACGTTTGACACAGTCCATCCTCTAAACTTGGCTAGCATCTTTCAGCAAATAGCCGGCTGAAGCTTGAAATTTACATTAACATTTTTTGTACAATTTCTGTCTTTTAACAGAGGTTTTAAACAAATGCTCAAGGTAAAAGTAAACCAACTCAAAGAGAAATTAGAACTGGAGCCTACTGAAGAGGAAGAAGAAGAGGAAGAGGAAGAGGAAGAATCCGAAACAACGACCCCGACCACTGGCACCGAGGTGGACCCTGAAATCCCCGAAGAAGTAAAGCCAACTTCCGTGTCCTCCAGTACCGAAGGCGTTATGGGAGAAGAAGAGGTTGAAGAACCTGAAGAGAAGATAAGTTTCCGAGAAAAAGTTAGGCGCAAGTTTGGGAGGTTGTCGAGACTCTTCAAGTTAAAACGAAGGTTGATGAATAAAGGAAAGTAGACTCTCCAGCCCAGTGGACCTTGAAACTTTTTTCTTTTTTGGTTCTCGAACGTTGATTAGCTGGACTGTTTAAAGAAATGATTTCCGCCGCACAAATTTCATATGATCACTAATCCCCATGCATTTTTGCAATTTTGAGTAATTACAATTTGGTGAAGGAATATTGTAAACCTTTTTTCTCAAGCATTGAAGTTTCAGTTGAGCACTCTGTAGATTGATAAAGTCATCTTAGCTTAATCCGAAAACTTAAACAAAAACATCGTGAGCGAATCCATTTAATCTAGCGTATTTTATATTTGTTAGGGGTTCATCTGCGAATGATTGTAAGGGGACAGGGAAAAATTAGAGACATGTACGGTTGTTTGAATGAAATAAACACTCTTAACTTTTACGTGATGTTCCTGCTCATGTAGATTAGGACTTAATTACTGCTTCGGCTGCTTTGCTTTTTCTTTTTTTTTTCTTCAGGTTGTATACATGCATATGGGTCTTGATTATCTAGTCCCTGTTCGGCATCTTCCTAGGCTAGCTTCGGCTCTCTTTTTTTTTCTTTTTTTTTTTTTTTTTTTTTTTTTTTTTTTTAATAACATTTATTTGGTTACAACACTTCTAATGACAATACTTACATCTACATGGAGGAAAAATAAAAACAAGGTACAAGAGATAAAGGAAAAATACGATGTTACAGCAAGCTTCGGCTCTCTAGGTCAATGCATTTTGGTGACGTAGCAGAAGGGGGTCCCACGTCCCATTAATTTTTAAAACCATTACTTAGGCCCGGTTCAGACGCCGAACTTTTCATGAGCCGAACCTAATTCGAATTAAGGCCGACCCAAATCATTTAGACCGGCTGAATTGATTCAGATGCCGATCTTAGTTGCAGCTGAACTAAGATCAAAAGGCGAAAAATACGTGCTCATTTCGGTCCAACTGCTTACAAAATAGGTTATAATAATTTATGCATTAGATTCGGCACATGAAAAGTCCGGGCGTCTGAATCAAAGTTGTTCCCAATTCGCTCCAAAGGCGAAATTCCCGGCCGGGCTAGGCGAAAAGAACGGCTCATGTGAGCCGTTCCTAATTGATTCAGACGCCGAACTGTTAATCTCGTACTCAGATCTCTTGTTGTCAACTAGAAAAGCTCGGCAGGTTTACTGGCAGTTAGCTTCCGGGAGGTACTCCCAGCAATGACCTATACAGAAAGGGTAGGGAGTAGCCTGCGTAGCAGGGGTCGAAAGGGGTAGGGAATTGGGAAGAAATGTTTAAGGGAGGGGGGTTTCGCGCTTTCCTTCCAGTCTCCCTCTCTCTCCTGCCAGTTTCTTTGGGGATTCCCTTACCTGGGGCAAAAACTGAAATAGAATGTGGCGAAACGAAAAAAAAAAGGAACTTAAAACATTTCAATCTGCACTCCAGTAAGCATGTCAGGATTTTGTAGAAAAAGAGAGTTAGCTACAGCGACGCAGTCTCAAAGCAAGTCGCAAATTAAAGAGAATTAATAGCTTTCCACATTGATTAGATTTGGGTGAGAGTTATCTCTAAATGCGCTATCGGCTTCATCTTTCCAAAGGGCATATAAGGCGGAGTTCCCCCGTATTTTTCAAAGGCCGCGAGCTTACGAGTGAGAGGAGTTGATGTTACGTAACATTAACCCTATATCAGCCCCGATATCATTAACATACAAATTCTTTCGAATGATCTCTATACATTTCCTTACAGAACTGGTTTGGAGAATTTGATAAATATCAAGCATTTTCCCTTTCGTGATAATTCTATTCTAAAATTCCCATAGCTTTTTCTCTTGATTGTGCGTAAGTCAGTAACTTGGGACTTTTAAACCGAAAGGTTTAATTATATTGAGCGTTCAATTATAAAGGTTTGTATCTGGATTCTGGTGATTGCTATTTACGAGTAGAAAATGTTACTAAAAAGAATAGGGGAATTCTTCGCCGACCTTGTCTATCTCCAAATTTTCTCTGTTCTATTTGTTCTGTTTTCCTGGTATTTTAAGGCCGTTTAAGAGCACTGAATTCCAGCAAGTTTTAATTTTGCTGTTGTTCTAAATATTTAGACGGAACAACTGAAACAGAATAGCTCTGAAACGGCCGTCTCAAATGCCAGGAATGCACGGAAAATAAAAGACTTTTGTACTGTTTTTTATTACTATTTTGACTCCCAACTAGCGATCGTTAGAATCTACATACAAGTTTCATAAGTTACGTAACAACAATTCTCTCTCGTACGCTTGGCTCTACTTGTTGTTTCAGTCTTGATCGTATCAATGCAATGCCGCCTCTAATCCGAGTTTTATAGACCCTCACAATTTTTTTTAAACATTATATTGTCTCACTTTTTTATGGCAAACCAGAGCACCTTAGTCAGAAAAAAAAATTGTATGCAATGTTGCGGGCCAGCGATATGACGAGTGCAACATCTATCAGTCAATAATTCAAAACAAGATTGCATAGAAGGGTTCCGGGGCAATTTATTTCTGATTTGCAATCAACGGGATATTACTATGATGTCAATTCACATACACAGCGGGGGTGAAAACTCGCAGGCTAGTGCACCTTGCTTTCCAGAGGGTGAAATTTAGATAATGGCTAGGAAATGACACTAAAAAATGGGATTAATCTTAATCTCCTCAAAGTGCTGATAATAATATAGCCTATAAGCTCTTCTAACCGAGCAGAAGAGTTACTTCACACTAAGTGCAATATCATTATCAGACGAACTGTGACGAAAATATGAATCTTCAAAGTTGAACAACGGAAGGACACTAACTGTACTGAACTCTCGTTTTTTAGTTTCTGCTTTGTTTGTTTTAAGAAAAGGTAAATTAAATTAATTCTGTAAAAATTACAAACATATCCGACAGAGTGTTAGGTTTGCCGCAAGTTTTATCCCGAAAAGTTCCGGCAACAAAAGCGGTAAAAAAAAAAAACGCGAAATGCAACACCTACGGAAATTAAGGGTTACTTACATGACCGACTGCTGAAACTCCCAGTAAGACTTTCAGAAGAACACTGACCACACCCCTGTTTAGTACTAGGTCTTTTAGCTAATGGCTCAGTTGCACTTCCAGTGAATGTACGTTTTACTAAACCCAGTCAACCCAGTAATTTTACGTGGGTTCATGGGAGCCAACCTATCTCTGTTAATACATACTGACTATACTCTGTTCATAACATTGAGGAATCGTCGATCGCTTGAAGCCAAGCTCGACATTATATTAAAGCAAAGTTTCTCAAGTAGTTATTTTTTTCTATATTAAGACTAATTCCGTAATTATTAGATCTCCATATCTCAGTCTTTGTCAGAGGTCTTCTAGTCGAGCACCTAAATAATCATGAACACCAGACTTTTCGTAACATTTTAAAGTTAACAGTGCCAGACTAGAGGTTCACGAGTTTAGAGAAGGCCATAAATACATAAATAGCAGACATTTGAGATTTTCTTTGGCTATCAGAAATAGTGCATAACATCAAGTTAAGCAAATTTTAAAATGATTTTCACTTAAAAAGTTTATTTTACGACTGCTTTGAGTCCGGCAAAATTTAACATTTTTGAAAGCACTAGGCTAATTTAACAAAAGAGATTGCGCTGTACTAATGCTATACTAACCCCTGACTAACTTTCTGATTTTAGTTAATATTTTAAGCAAATGATCACTACAAAGAAAGCGAGCCAATTAGTTTCAGAAAACAAAATTTGCACTGATTCCTGTGAAATTTCCGGTTTCTTCACCCCTTTTTTATATCTCTGGGTTTGCCTTTCTTTCTTTGTTAATTTTTGCCATTCTCTCCCTTCTCATGTAGTTAAAGATTCCTCTAAAACATGCGGCCTTTAGCTAGCGTTGTTTGTAAGATTAGATTCAGATTCAGATTCATAACTTGTTTCGGTGTCATTTCATAACGCACTAGTTATGCAACACTAATTGAAATCTTATGGCGGTGTGAGTGACCATTCAAAAGAAATCCACAGAAACAACTCTTTTCGATGGTACTTAGTTTGAATGTTTTGTACCACTCAAGGGACTATCACTTTTGAATCCTTTAACGATGATCAGTAGAAGCTATGGTGTGACCATTCAAAGGAAACCTTTTCAACTGTAGTACGTTTGCTCGATGATTATTATTTTTTCAGAGTTAGTAATTTTTCTGGAATTTCTACTTGTTGGGCCTGGTGAAAGGATTCCGGGTGGAGATCAAAATTCTTTTAAAATATTCAGGAACTATCTCAGTTCCTTCACTTCTGGTCGCGGATTGCAATCAATGTGATATGTTTAACGTGTAATGTCAATTTTGATATTAACGCCTGGGAACCTACTCACGCAACGTAAACTGAAAAATATTAGTATACTTTGCTTGCCACAGGGATAAATTTATTTTATCGTTAGTAATTAAATGGGATTCGATAATATTCGATTGAACGTAGATTTTTTAGCCCCAAATGAACACTTATCACCAGTCTTGCGAAAAGAAACGAAAAAATTTACAGTGGCTGAAGCTTCATTGAGTTCAGATTAAATTGGTTTTTCTTAATGATACTTTATTAATATTTTAACATGTATGGATGGACTTTTGTTTTTGAATTTTTGCTTTGTTTGTCCTAAGGAAAAACAAAAAAACAATTCTGTAAAATTTTACAAAGGTATCCGCGACCCGTTGAATGCAAAGTCGGCAAGTAAAATTGTGTTTTTTTATAACTTTGGTCTATATTTAAAAAAACGTTCTTCAACTGTGTGGAGACTGACTTTTGAATGATGAGGTTTCAAGTAAACGAGAAAAAGTTAGCTCAAATATTTACTCTCATCCAACTCAAATCATTTCTTTTTTTAATTAGCGTCTTGGAATCCACTGCAAACGTAAATTGGCTACATTTCCTGATTTCAAATATAATGCTGCAAAGGGGGACATTTCAAAACTGTGTATTTCTGTTATTTTTTATTCGACAAACAGATTTGCATGATCTCCTCGTTTATTTCCTCTTACGAATAATGCTTTAATCATTATCTTTCATCTAAACAAAAAACTCTCTCAGCTTTATTCTTAAATATTTTTTTGTCACTTCCCTGCTTGAACCTTGATTATCATAAAGTGGTATAACAATGTTCTGTACACTATATTAAAGAAGCTTTTTATCCGCATTGGAATTGAATTATACTTTTATGTTTTGTAGTTAAGTTCACAGTCCTGAAAGAAAACACTTATGATGATTTATTTACAATTTATTTACAAGACCTTCCACATTTCTGAAAAATCAATCGTATAAACTCAATCTAGTCCGTGAATTTCCGCTTTCTTTGCCGGTAATTTCTCCCACTACATAAACTTCGGTTCTATTCAAATTAGTTTGCGAGTGTTCACCAGCCACATTTTTTCCATCGTTTTCTACCGGAGCAACACGAACTATTTTGGACATTTTAGAAGCACGCTGAAACAACAACACAGTTCCTTGTCTAAAGTTGGGGACACGCCAAGCGTAAAGAGCTGGATTTATCCCCGACGAGAAGAAACCAACAGTTAACGTTATGTCCCGAGCAAGGAGCAGTTTGTCGGAGCGACAATTCTCGCAGAACACCAGCACAACGTCGACGACAACAAAGGGACACCAAGCAACAAGAAAAACCAACAACATTATGAACACGGTCATAGAAATTCTGCGTTCCCGCGCAACCATTTTCTTGACATCCGTGGCTTCTTTGCGATCCGCCGAGCCCTTCAAATTTAAGATTTTTTCTCTTAAAGCTCGTAACAATCCATAGTACGATAGCAGCATAATCCCTGCGGGAGACAAAACACCCAAACCGTAGAGGTATATCTGAAAACTTGCGCTCCGCCAGCCAACGAGAGGTAAGATGGAGAAATGAATGGAGTAGAGCCAAATAATTAAAAGTGTCGTGCGAACTCGGCTAGGTTTGACAAAAGATCTGTACTTAAATGGCCTGCACACAGCGAGAAAACGATCCACCATCAGGGCTGAAATATTCATGATGGAACAGACGCAGGAAAGAACAGCAAAAATGTAATAGCTAAACAAGACTTCAGTATTGCTTGTCCAAAAGCTCGCAGCGTTTATAGGTTCCACCGTCACTCCAACCAAAATGTCCGCCAAGGCCAGATTGATAACGAAATAGGAGTTACTGACTCGCCGTAGTTTTTTCCCTGGATCTAGAATGTATACTATACACACTAGCATGTTACCGACAACGGTATAGATCCCGAAAATGATGAAGGTGATTGCTAACGCTGTATTTGGAGTCAGAAGATATCCTTCAAAAAACATGTAAAGTGTCATCTCTGCAACTGGAAAACAGTTATACAGAGAGTACTAAACGATAAAGACCAGTGTAGTGGCTTCTCAGTTTAATATACTACCGCAGTTCAAACAATCCTCTATTTTGATCGTGTTAGTAGCTCAACGCCTGAAGTATTGTGTTAGCAGGAGCTTCTTAGCACTGTGGAGATGAGATTCATAAGTCTCCCATTCTATAAAAGACGAGTAATTAAGGCGCATTAGACTGGGTCATTATTTCAGCGTGTTTAGACAGGTGTTTTAACGTGGCCTTTCAACCACTCGCAGCTACCACGGAAAGAAAGCGAATTCAAAACATCCGAATTCCCTTCTGGACTTAAGTCGTATATCTTTCAACTGATAATTAATTTCCTTCTTAATTTCGAGGTGTTGATCTCTTGATCAGAATTGACCTAGAAAACAAAGTGAAAAATGTTATTTCAAACCACAAATAACCGAAAACCACTGTTTAAAATTGGAAACGTTTAGTTTTTTTTTGTTTTTCGTTTTTTTCTTAGTTGTTCTTTTTTTTTTTTCCAAAAGCGCCCGCTTTGTTCACCGGATAAAATTCAGTTGCATATCCTTAATTTCAAAACGTGCATTTTTTGTTATATTGAAAGGAAAAGAAACTTAACACACAGCGGGCCTGGTATAACCTGATTTTAATAAGGTTAAGAGGCAAATCGTGAATTTTTCTTTGTTCAGATTCTGCCATTCTGAATCTCATGCGAAGTCTTAAATATTTAACGCCGTTCTTTTTTAAATGAGAATATTCGTTTACTTTGCCACGGACAAAACAAACAACTTCGAATCGGCAGCCGATATAAAATGTCCCGAACCAATCAAATCATATTCATTTGATTTAAGATGCAAACAAAGAAATATCTAAAATTTGTGTTTTGGATTTAAAAACCGGCATGCAAACTATAATTGTAATGATAGAAGCCTGCAAATTTCATTATGTTGCTCGTTCATTTTTTGGGCAGGCGAAGTTCATTGAACTTAGGAAAATGAAGGGAAAAAAGCGTTTACAAGCCTCAAACGGCGTTTTATGCCTAAAGCGGATATTAGCCCTTGGAGTGGAAGAAAGGAAACATGTGAAATCACAATTAAACTTCTGACAAAAAAATGACGCGAAGGCTCTTTCTTTATTTTGAACAATGCCAAATAAGAAAAGTACGTTTTTCTTAATTGCGACCAGATCATTCAGGAAATATTGTAGTCAGTGTAACTGTTTGAGAATTTTACTGAGACTGCAATGAATTATATTAAAATAGTATATTCAGTTACAGAAGAAGGTCCAGTTTATTTTTGTCACTAGACTGTTAATTTACTTGAACTATGAAATGAAAACTCGCGCAAAGCTCCTCAACTTGGTTTTGCAAGGTGAATTAGTAATCAGAATAATATTTTAATATAAGGTCTCATTTCTTGAAAACAATAAGTGTACAGTCTACAATTGCTCTCTAATAGGTACAAGTATTGACCGGCCGAGGGTATTATTTTTTTCTCTTTTAATTTGAACCTCATTTTTTCTTAATTTCCGCTTTACTTACATCAGGGTATGTGTTCGACCTCTCCACTGATCGGCTTTTTTTCCTTCTCTGATGCTGAATTTTTTCAGGGGAAATGCCGTTTATTTCAGGAAACGCTGCTTTAATAATAATCAATAATAATAATAACTGTAAAAAAATGAACACACACAGAAGCTGCATAGAATCAATTTTCCCTGATTCTCATTTTACTTTTGCAAATTAGTTAGAATTGCGTATTGTCAGACGACACACACAGTGATGCCAAGCTGACAAATAATTCATGTATAATGAAGGCAATTAACACCTAACCTCAAGGAACTGCAACAGGAGACTTGCAGTTTCTTTAGGCCTGTTACCAATGAAAAATTGACAACAGCAACAAACGACATGCAAGACCTGTCCATACTTGAGTAATGGCAAAAAGCTAGCAGTGGGTGAAAGATCCTGTCGTAGAAGATACTCACTGTCCTTGTGTCCATAGAATTATATTTTCATTGCCAACCTGTGATATCTTTAAGACTGATTAGAGATGAAGATTAGACCGTAAAAGAGAGTGGATACATTGACTTTGTTCTAAAAGGATCATGAATCCTCCGACCGCGATTACATATGATCTAATCAGCGAAAGAACACATCAAATGACAGTTTATAAAGCAACAAGAGGCTGAGACAAACTATGCTGAAAATGAGGCTGACGATACTTCGAAAATCGCCTTTCGATTTATTATTGGTCGCAACCAACACGAAGAAGACCCAGTGCGGAACATGGCGCCGATAAGTTTTGCAATTTCGATTGGAGTCTTCATCTGAACTAAGTCGAAAAATAGGTAAATGATCTTTAATGAAGATAATTATACTCACTACTATACTTCTCCTCAACAGATATTTTTTTTCTGAAATGATGAATTTTTGAATACTTGTATTTGAATTGCGGGATGAATACATAGAAGATCATTATAGTTAAATACTCAACTTACGCAGTTGTAAACTAGTTGTGAAAAGACAGCCTGAAAAAATTCAGGCTTGCCGAGATTGGAACGAAGATATTTTTCTGTCAGTGCCCCTGGTGTCTATACATTTATTTACTTGTATAACCTCTTTTTAAGGCATTCTTTATTTTTTTCGACTTTCTCTCAATTTTACTCAATTTTTGTATAAAACTGTATTATTTACTGGAAACTTAGTTAAATCTTCATGTGTGTTCTGTTTCACGGTGGCCAGTTGGCGCAAGGTCTGGAAACGATTAATCCTTGGAAATTACCTAGATCTAACTTGGGCTCGAAAATGAGAAGCTTGGATCAAATTTTTTTTACTGTCCGATGCTGTCCCAGATCCCCGTAGATTCTTAATTTCAGACCACGCAACAACTACCAGCGCAAAAAAGTCTAAATGGCTGCCAAAATTACCAAAGGAACAGGGGGTAATAGAGGTTATTTTTGTAATTGATCTCTTAATGTGTAATTCTAGATCTAATCGGTATGTAAGGACCTCCTTGCAGATTTTCCAGTCGAACAAGAAGAAATGAAAAATGTAAAGTAGCCCTAGCTGTGAAGTTCTTTACTTAATTTGGGCAAAGACTGACTCTAGCTTTTAAAAGAACTTGAAAATTCTTTTCCTGGTGGTGCACAATGTTTTTAGTGATCGCTTTATTATTTTCATACGTTAAAGAGTTCCGCCATTTCAGAATTATCGCTGGTCTAGACTTTAACTGCAAGGCGAACAACCTACAATCATCGTCAAAAGTGTTGGGAAGGTTGCCTTTTTTACCTCTTCTTTTTCTTCCTCCCCCCACCCCTGGCCCAATGTTGATCAAAACGTTAATGTTTGTGCGCGCAATTGTTCTGTTATATCCCAACATTGAATAGGGGGGACGGGGGATATTTAGCAAAAGAGAAAACTCTGTTTTTTCAGGATTAAAATGGACTACTGTTAAGTTGTACAACCTTCCCAACTAATTTTGTCTGTGATTGTCTGAAAATTCTGGGTGTGGCAGTAAAAGGTCAAAAATCGACGACTTTTTGTCAGTAGAAACGTCTTCAAAAAACACTCGTAAACAGTACTCTGTTGAAAAAAGATATTTGCCGTACCTTGTTAAGACAATTTTTGGCGCAGACGCCTGTTTATATTCGGCATGTTTTGCAACCCGGTAAGTACAACTATTGCTCTTTCCGGGGCACAGGAAGAGCCAAAATACAAATGCAAGATTATTTTCGGTGAAAGCTATTGACTATAGCATAGGCTGATATGTTTTAAATGTTAAAGCAAGATATAGTGCGTTCACCAGTTCCCCAAAAAATCATTCGGATCGCTACATTGCAGCTGACATATTCCTTAGCAGCTCCCCATTCTTTACAACATTCAGCACATGTCCATTTGCCACGCGAGCAAACTATGAGGCTGAGTGGAAATTTGCTGAATTCTAGAGGCTACTTTCTCTGGCTGAATAACTCTAGTTAAGCCCTTGTGGCACCGCTTTTCGAAACTGGTTTCAGAAAACGAGAACAAAGTACGCTCTTGATTTAGATTAAGGCGTCTATTGTCTTCGTTAACCTAATTAAAAAGGATAACACACGCAAAGTCATCACACACCACATTACTCCATTTTCGTAGCCGAAAATAATTCCTTTATAGTAGCGCTAACGACAAAATAGCCTAATTGACTTGTTCGGGGCTTTGCAAGGACTTAACCAAACGAATTTTAATAGACATTTTAGCTTAATTCTAAGTAAAATACGACATTACTCCATGGGTAGCGTTAAAATTAAACTAACTTTGCTAATTGACCTTTATAGGGCACTGTTTAAATGGAGTAATGTTGGGAAACAGTTGTTAAATTTATCCCCGTAGATAAATGCGACAAAAGCTGTCCATATTCTTACATGGTTTACATGTTTTTGCCCTTTTCTTGTTTGAAAGTTGGTTCATTGAGCATATATTTCGCATTTTCTTATGGAGTAATGTGGTGGAGGAATGTGGAAACCCATGTTGTTTACTGTTCTCAAATTATCTGAATGATTGACAGGCGACGGTAGCACAGCAATTTCTATATGAACTCTGAACATGGCTGAATAAACTCTTTTATAGAGGTTCCGTATTACCTTCAGGCCTTACGAAAATAAAGTCTAGAAGATTTTAATTCAGCACTTATCTCACTCCTCCCTCGCAACTACAAACATCATGTTTTTCTAGGATAGTTTAACACCGCCGGAATAAAAAAAAAAACTTTATTGTGGCAGCCTTTATGCCATTTCTATTTGTAACATCTTTCAAAACATTTGGCTGATAGGAAACAGCAAAAGTTAACCAGGAATAATACCGCTGATGAAAAAGATGCATGTATACATGACAACGACTGCAATCGTATAGTATTTTTTTACTTAAAAATACCCTCATGACTTTTCGCTAAATCTGGTGAAACAGACAACCTGTGGCCATTCCTTCTACATAGTCCACGCGAAGGAAACGTCCTCTTGCTTCATGAGGAAAATTAAAGGCCTTAAATGTTTTCTTCTGGCGTTCTTAGAAGAAAGCGATTTCACCCAGTGGATTTTGTGGTCACGCTATGAAATGTCACGCGCGTCAGATGCAAAATTCTCCTACATGTATTTATGATTTTACCGAAATATAACCTTTATTATATTTTTTATATAGTTTGGAAAGTGCATTATCAGTACAGTTCCAGGGCGAGATATCTCAACCAAATGTTAAATGCGACAAGTTTTATAAGCGTTTAAAGTTGATTTCCTATTCTCTTACAATCATCGTCAAAAGTGTTGGGAAGGTTGCCTTTTTTACCTCTTCTTTTTCTTCCTCCCCCCACCCCTGGCCCAATGTTGATCAAAACGTTAATGTTTGTGCGCGCAATTGTTCTGTTATATCCCAACATTGAATAGGGGGGACGGGGGATATTTAGCAAAAGAGAAAACTCTGTTTTTTCAGGATTAAAATGGACTACTGTTAAGTTGTACAACCTTCCCAACTAATTTTGTCTGTGATTGTAGTCCCAGGACTTTTTCTGCTGCACGGTTTCCAGTCGTTTTGCACGAAATGAAGTTGATTGGCTGCAAAGTTGTAACGTCTTTCGGTTGCACGCGCAGTCCTCTGATTTGTTTTTGTCCGGAATTCATGGGGTGGTTGGATAATATGGAGAGCGACAATTTCAGCCAGAAAATTCCTGAAAAAAATGTGGGAAATACTTCCCAGGCCTTCTCGGACAATGCATTTCCGCGACGAAGCCGACACGCAGGAGACATGCAAAAACTTGCTCGGACCGCACGACCCGAAAGGCATCGGCCGCGCGCAATAATGAGGCCTAGGGACTAGGAAAGCAAGTCATGTACTCAAACGGCTGAGGCAAGACACTCGTTTAACTATTCAATGTTTAAGTGTTATCCGTAAAATGGCCAAAACTTTAGTTAGGGGTGGTAACTTTGAAGCGCTGGTCTTAAAAAAACATACATATTATTTGCGCTTCCCAAAAGGCGGCTGGAAATATCGGAATGCCTCTGTATGGTTAACCGTACAAGCATTTTCAACTTTGAGATTGTCGGGATTGCTTGTTAAGACTTTTATAGCGGAGCTCGCGCGCGCGAAGCGCGCCAGCGGAGCACCAAAGTAAGAAAATGAAGTAATTTACCCATCCGAGAAAATTTGGTAATCACGTGACCCTTAACCGCCCGCCCACCCGAGAGACCATCCGTCCGCACCACAGGCATACCGATGTAAAATAACTCAATCAACAGGTACGGCAACCTGAATGCAACTCGAGGATATTTTGACGGGAAATCTCATAGCCACCGGCGTCTTGTAAAGCAGAGACAACAAAAGAGTCAATAAATACGAAAACGGAAAGCGAAAAGAGAAAGTGGGCGGCAGGCCCGCGAAGCTCAACGAGAAAGAGGGCGACATGGATTTAGAGCGAGAGATAAAAAACAAAGGAGACATTTTTTTGTTGGAAGAACAACATGAAAATTTTGTAGCGGCGGTGACAAAATGAGAAATGCTAGCGGCCACCAATGGACGGACGTTTTCTCCATAAAACGTGTATTAAACTAAGAAGTTTTTGGAAGTTTCACGTTGTAGTCGTGCAAAACAACGGCAAAGAAATATACAAAAAAGTGTGCTGCCCGTGCAAAGTTATTTTTGCTAATTAGACTTATTGTTGTTTTTCACCGTTTTCCGGCGTTGGATGCCTTCGCCGCTTAACATTACACGATTTTATATTTTGTTTGAACAAACTATAAATATTATGGAGAGCTTCGCTTTTAGCCCTGGTTAAATCTATTTTATTTCATTTTATTTTATTAGCTTTGCCCTGAAGAATACAAAAAAAACCCACACACACACACATGTATAGATATGCAAACAAAATATTAGGTCAGGGACACCGCAACAACTAAAGCCAATTACTACGGACCCAAAAAATAAAAAGATATAAAATTAGCGATTTAAATCACATGCAGCAGCTAATTTCCTGGTCTAAAAACCTAGCTGTGTTACATTTCAGGCAAATACTTTTAAAGCCCCTTGGAGAGTCCGGGTCATAGTTTATTGCTAGAGCCTGCGAGTAATAACCGTAAAGAACAGATTTAAAGTTCTCCAAAGTAACATTATCAAGGTCAAGTCTAGTAATAAGCAGGTTCCAGATTCTAGTGGTTCTAATGAAAAAAGATTTCTGAAAGGTAGAAGTCCTGCATTTTTTAGGCATAAAAGAATCTATATCATTTATGTCGTAACTCATCGTGCCTCGCTCTGGTGGATCCGATTTACTTTCAATTGCTACATCCTCAAGACCTAAGATCCTAAAAAGATATTTCAGCAATGGAAATCTATTGTAAAATTTATAACTAAGAACTTCAGTTTGTGTTAAAGGTAATCAAGAGAGATAAGTCCAGCTTTAGCCGTATAAAAGCCAATATAAAGTCGAAGCTCTCCTTGCGACCACGCTCGTAAGCGACCAACTCTAGTTACGACCACCATGGTGACAACCCGTTTGAAGTGTGACTAATAAACTTTGTAATGAAAAGCTCTTGTAAGCGACTGCTCCCGCAAGCAAGCGCAACCATTTTTGGGGTTACCAAACTGGACTTTTCCTTTGTTTTTAAGCTCTCGTAAGCGACCACTAAGCGACCACTCAAAGTCCTATTCATTCAAATCAACACTTAAATGAAACTGCACACTGCGCTAATGGTCTAAAAAATTGGATGTAAAGTTTAGCCTTGTCTTTATCAAATATGAAGACACTCATAAAAAATTTTAAATTTCACTTGTTTTTCTTCATGAATTATTAATGAGTTTCTGAAGCTCTCGTAAGCGACCAGCTCTAGTTACGACCACTTTGTCGAATTTCCGGGGTGGTCGCTTACGAGAGCTTTGACTGTATTTTCCATTTACCGTAAATGCTACTAACTTCCTGGGACCTTCATTTGGGTCATCCTCAGAGTAAAAACCTGTGAAGTTTCTCTTTGTTTTCTATCAATTATTTTCCTTGGCTCTATTGTGTTGACTTCTCAGTGGTTCCTTTGTATTAATTGCTTTACGTCACTTGTGAGTTTCACAGGTTTCTACACCGAGTACTAGACTTGCTACAAGTCGACCTTACGAGTTCTTAGCGAGCGAAGCGAGCTTTTTAGGCCGCGAAGCGGCCAAGCGAGCGAAGACGGGTCGCGAGTGAGAGGTCCCGCGCCATATTAATCGGACGAAGGACTTTTTTGAAAATCTAACCGAGTACGAGCCCTTCATTTTCACCCGACTATATCTTTCTATTTGGCTTCTTTACGATACAGAGACACACAGGGGTGAAGTCATCGCTAAAAATCTATGCAAACGTAGTCAGGCGTTTGTATATTAGTAACTTCCAAGAACCTGATGAATTCGTTGAGTTCGACAGAAACAGGGTTTTAATCATATCATTATTGTAGTTCACTTATTCATGATGTATTCACAGAAAAGTCCAATATCTCTATTATTTTCTCTACTTGAAGCTTTTATATTTTATTTATTTATATCTTAATTTGTATTTATTTAGACACTTTATCCATATCACTTTGAATTTACGTTTGTTTTTTTTTTCTTTAGTTATGATAGCCTGCGGCTATAAATGTATTTTTTTTCCTTTTTTTTTTTTTCTTCTTTTCCCTTAACGAAATTACTCATGCAGTATTTTAAAAACGAGAGGGTAGATTCCCTAAGTCGTCCTAGAAAGCCATTTTACAACATTTTAGGGCCAACTAGATTAGGCCTTTGAGGACAACGATACAAAATGTTTTTGTCTCAGTGACAAAAGAACACATATCCAAGCAACAGAGGAAGAAGGCTAGCTTGGTGCGTATGTTTCTGAGTCTGTTTCACTCTTAGTGAACGCTTTTGTCTCCTTTTTAGATTCCCAGTTGTCCACGACACTTTGAACGATGTCTTTTTCCAAGACATAAGGTGGTAACACTTCCAGTTCCAAAGGTACGGGTGAGAATTTAGAGTCAATAGGTTCTACCTTTGAACGTTTTTTTGGCGTCCCATGAATTTTGGACTTCATTTCCACCTTCACAATCCTTAAAAGCCCTTGCTTAAATCGGCGCACCCGCCACGCATATAACAAAGGATTAATTCCCGAGGAAAAAAATCCCAAGGATAAAGTAATGTCCCGGGCCAAGAGAAGGCGCTGTGATCGGCATCTCGGGCAAAATACAAGAACAAAGTCTATTACCACAAATGGAAACCAAGCAAGCAGGAAGACAGCTAGCATAATAAGCACTGTAGTAGAAATTCTTCGTTCTTTTTGCACCATTCTTTTCATTTGGATAGTTGACGGAGCACGGCCATCATTTAAACCGGATCCTTTTTTCTTTAAAATTCTTATCAATCCGTAGTACGACAGCAGCATAACACCAGAGGGCAGCAGAACACCGAAAGCGTACAAATAAATTTGAAAGTTTGCGTCACGCCAACCCACAATCGGTAGAAGCGAAAAGTGGAAAGCGTAAAGCCAGATGAAAAGCACGGAAAAACGAACGCGCCTCACCGTCACTAAAACACGGTAGCGGAACGCTGTTTTCACAGCTATGTATCTATCGAACATCATGGCAGAGATGTTTAATATTGAGCTGACGCATGACAGTACAGCTAATACGTAAAATGCGAACAGTGCGTGTTTGCTGTTTGTCCAGTAAGCGGATACATTCAGTGGCTCTACGATCATTCCAACAAGAATATCAGCCAATGCGAGATTCACGACGTAGAAGAAAGATAGATTGCGAAGATTTTTAAATGGATCTCTGAAGTAAACGATGCAAACTAACGAGTTTCCGATGACAGTGTATAGGCTGAAAACGATGAAGACAATCGCGAGAGGCAAACTTACTTTAAGGATATAACCATCGTAAAACATGAAAGGTTGTGGCATTTTAGCTCTCTAATATCACCTTAACAGAACAGTCTAATGGTAAACTGGACAAGGCAATGTTAATAACAATCCCTCAACGCGAGCAACGAGAACTGTTTTCCTTCCCTCGATCGTCCTAGAGAGATGCAAATGATTTCAAACGAAATAGAGTGAATTTCACTCCCCCATTGGATTATAACAAGAGTAGATTAACATACTTGTTTGCATTGTATTCTTTTCCATCGACTAAACAGAAACCTTATTAGCAGCTGTTTTGAGTGTTTGAGTGTGCTTGGTAATCATGCTCTCGCACCTTCATTAATTAACCCAAAACAGTTTTTTCCTATTTTGACCTCTCTAAGATCGATCAATTCAGTTGCAGCTGTGTCGTTGTGAATTACTTTCAACTAAAACAGTTTTATCATTTTCTTCCTCACACTAAGACAATACTAAGACAATTACTAAGACAACCTCTCTGATAACAAACCTTTCAGCGCTAATTGGCATGCATTTACGATTTAATCCCGTGCCAACTTCGATCGGACTACATTTTAGATAGCCATCTTTGATTTTTAAGATTGTTTTGTGCTCCGAGATAGTCCACTGAATTGGAACAGGCTAGTGCGTGTACTGATAAATATTTCAAAGTTAACATGTTTTTTCAAAATCTGGCAAATAAAGTTATATCATGAGAATAAAAGTTGCAAATGTTAGTACTATCTTGTGGTGGGAAGTAGATATTTTACAAGTAGTTAGCATCGCAGAAGGAGCCTTTTGCATATAAATGTATTATATACTACGATGATTAAAACCTGGACTCTCTTCTGATTTCTCTTCCCGACGTGGACGTATGGGGGCATGCAACCTTTAAGTTAGAAAAGTTTGAAAACTTGATACTTTGAAACGCCTTTTCTCTAGTGTTCTGAGAGGAAAATAACCGTAAAAAAATTTGGGTAAAAGCATCCTTTTTTGTCCTTGCTTTTAGTATTAATGGAGGTAGACGTCGTTACGTCACGTTGCCATGGTATAAATGAATGAATGAATGAATAGATGAAATTTATACACGGTAGTAATTTCAATATACAAAATTGGTTTTCAAATTAGCCGTGTGAACAATTCTATGACCTAATACTATATCACAATGTTTAAAACTATCGTTAGACAGAATATTAAGTGTTTATTTAAAAATAATGATTATAAAAAAACCTAGGGCAATAAATTATCATGGTAGTCTCTCAAGTACACTTTGAACGTATTTAATGTCTTTAAGTCTCTGACATGATTCGGAAGTTCATTCCATGCAATTGCCCCACGATAAGCAAAAATTCTTTTTTAATGAGTCCGTTTTAGTTTTGGGCAACTGCATGTCGAACCTACTACCTCTGATGTTGTAGTTATGCACCTCAGAGGTCAATCGAAAAAGCTCAGTGAAACACTCAGGTACAGCCGCATCATAAACTTTATACATCATCATATTCATTTGTATTTTCCACTTATCACGCAGCGTTGGCCAACATAGCTCTTTTAAAATATCATACGATCTTACTGAATAGTTGCCCTTTATAACAAAATTTGGTAGCCGCAAAATTTCTGGATAACAATAAACCGAAAATTCACTTAAACGTGAATTCACACTGACTGTTTGTCATTTTTGGCGAAATTTCCTGGGGTTGAATCCAAAAGGACCGTATCTAAGTTTAGAGAAAAAAAAGAAAATATTTGTGCTGTGTTCACCTACTCAACGAAGAGGTCGCGTGAAATTAGGAAGTTTCATACGGTCGTAGCCGCGATGCACTTGAAAACATTGTTTTTTTGCTAGTACAAACCTATTGCTTTTTGTCGTTCTCATTGCCGTCGCGCCGTCGTCCTTGCTTACTATCCCTATTGTTGTGAATCAGAAATTTTGCTACCATAGTAACGTGACGTCACACTTCTCCTCTCTGTTGACTAATCCTAAAGACGGGGAATACCGCTCCCTTTCGTCGTTTTGCGTGGCTTTGCAGACAAGTACTCGATTTTGTTTTACACTTCCTGGGGTTTCTTTAGTTTTCCGGTGAGTTTCAGTTAAGTGTACTCTATATGATGTTCTTGTATGAATATTGTTAGAGTCGGAAGAAAATGTCTGAAAAGTTGTCAAAATCGTGCTTGTTCCTACCCCGACTGCATATCGGGATTCGGGATTTTCAAGCAAAATCGGGGCAATCCCGACCAGATCGAGATGACGGTATGAACCGCTTTGCAAGCTGAAAAAGGCTCCTCCAAACTCTCTCTTAACATTTGTTGAGAGAATGGGCAGAAAACAAAATCTCAACTGATAAATATAAAACATGTCATCAGAGAGAATTGAGACGCACCACACTTGAGTGCATGTTGTTCAAATGACAGAGCGGGTTAGATGGCCCTAACATTTCGTGAACGAATGATCCAACAAACCACCATGAAAGATAAACATGAGCAAACGACAAATTATGGTCCAAAAATTTGGGCTCCACTTGACATGGGATGTACATGCAGGTATCGTGTTAGACCATCAAGCGAACAGTGACTGTTTTTTAAACGGAATTGGCTAGAATGAATTTATGCTACAGACTGACTAGAGTGACGCTTCTCTTTATTTATTTATATATTTATTAACCTAGGTTGGCCAGTTCTGGTCAGGATAAGTTTCCGGGGAAGGAATTCCTCTATGAAAGGGCGGGGAGGCTTGCCACATCCCGTTTAGGGTTGTGAAATGCAGATCTTTGTACGTTCCTTCATAGGACAAAACACCAATATGCCAGTTTTAAAAACACGGGTATCGCTTAAGTCTCTGCATCATCCCCGTCACTTTTATATTGGAGTCTTTCCCCCTCCCGGAAAGAGGGGTTTTGAGTAGCATACCTTCATCACCAATACTCTGTTAAAGTAAATGAATGGTAATCAAGACACGATAAAGACCTCCCGTGACGATAATTTACTTCTGAGGGATAACTCTAATTGTTATTCCCTAATCCGTCAATTATCTGTTCGAAGGAGGCTTAAAAAACCCACGGCTGCTCGAAAAGAGTTAGCCTGTTCCAGGCTCCGAGATGGTGGTGAAAAGTCGTTCAGTGAAAAAAAAAAAAATGCAAAAAACGAGCGGGGGCTGGGGAGGGACAGGGCGCCACCGCCCCTTTTCTTATTTTCGCTTTGCTCGTTTAATACGTCCCCACTATACTATCTGAGAGCCTGGCACGGGCTAGAAAAGAGTAAGAGAAGTAAACTCCAATAAAGTGGTTTGTTTCTTACGGGGGAGGGGTCATTCACGGGGAAAAGTTATCGGGACTTTCTAGAAACAGACCCCAGCTATGTAACGCTTACTTAAGTTGGAGTATTTACTTCAATCGTCCACAACAGATCTTGGATGACCGAGTCAATAAGAACACTGGTGGGGCGAAATTTACTTTACTTAGCAAGCTACGAACATGAAGCACACTGAATTTAGACACTAAAATAGCATTTGCAGTAATTTGATTTTATTACCGGATATTTCTTTGGCTTCTAACAAGTTATTTAAACATGCACGTTCTAGCCGTCCTTAATTTGTAATCAGTAGTTCTAGTGCAGTTACTAAACAGTTTCATTGTAGAGCAGTATCTTTTGTTTGTAAGAAGCATCAAAGTGGGGATATATTTTTGCGTCGGTTTTTTTTAAAAAATCCAGTCCTTGAATATCTCCGAGTTCCTTAACTTGCAATTGTAACTTGCAAATACATATGCAGCTCATTTGCTAAATTTAGTTTACGAGTCGCAAATAGCCGAGGTCGGGGGCCAATTCTCAAACCGTAGTCGAAGACGATCTGTTTTGTCGGTCGACTAAGTTGCATGACTAAACTGACAAGCTGCGGACGATGCTTCAGTTTCGAGCAGCTACACTTTGTGATTGGCTTAAAATGAAAACAATCGTGACCTGTTGGCACTATTTTCCCGCATGTGCAAGCAGCTTTCGTGTTTGTTTCGAATTCAGATTGGTTCCTCATGTGACTCTACTGAGACGGACAGATGCTTTGTCCAATAGCTTCCAATCCACTGACGACCACTATTTTAATGCGGCTTGTAACCTTTCCTAACTGTAACAAAGTTTCCAATAAGATCCAAATCTCTCAAAAATTTGTATTAAAAAAATTACCTCTACCACAAGGCAACAATTTTTTGTCTCATCCAACGAGGTAACGAAATGTTGCTGCAATTGAAAGTGTGTTGGCGGTCTTTTAATTTTTTCGCTGTATTAAAAGTTTTGTTAAACACTGGCTAAACTACTAGTACTTGGCCCCAAGTTTTTTCTTCATTCCACGCCAGTTTTTTCACGGTTACCATTGACCTTTGTTACTAATTTTTTAAAAAATTGTTCAATAAGCCATACGCTAAGCGTTCTTCTTGTTCAACCCTTCTTTGGTCTTCTTGCAAAAACAAAAATTAAGCGAACTCACCGGTCTGTGCTAAAGCAAGCACCGGCATGTTCAATCATATATCATTCGCTGCTTAGTTTACCATACTAGTTTTACTAGTTTTTACCGTTTAAATTCAATTTTCCTGTACCCAAAGTATTCAGCGTTTTTTTCCAGTTTCTTGTATACACCAATTGCAAAACGCACGTCACTGTAATTTTTCAGTCCCGACCGCTCATCTATAGACAAGACTGTTTTCCCGACCTGTAAGCATTGTGTTCCCCTTTTGCCGCATGCTCCATTCATTAAAACAACAAGCTATACCGTTCAAAAAAAAAATACTCTGTAATCACGTTCATGAAGCTCTCATTTTTGGCCAGTCGTAAACGTCATGAAGCGTTAAAGCTGAGAACAACATTCATTAATTCCACACTCCCTTTTGCTTGCCCTCTACGCTGCCTTGCTTGACTCGTTGTTCGTGTTCACTGACAGTTGTTTCCATAAACAGTTGACTCGTCAATAAAGGTTTTTTTTTCCCGTAACTCTGTGTTTTTCTTAGGTTCCTTTCGCGGTATCAAAATTCAGCTAGACAGCTAGGCCAAAAGGACATGGTAAAAACAATTCACCTTTATTTGCCAATGACTTTTTCCTTGGACTGTAGCAGACTTTACTGCGCCGAAGTCCCCGCCCTGAACAAGTCATGATGGTAGTCAGAGTGCGAATTAAAATGAATGAACCGTTCTTTTTTGCAACCTTTCTGCATTTTCATCGATTCATACTGCGCTGTGCCCAGGTTGGTCCTTCAAGTTCTCAATTTGAATTGCATTTTATTGTAGTGCAATGCAATACATTGTATTGTATTGCAATGGATTGGACTGTATTGCAATACATTTTCATTTTATTGCATTGCACTGCACTGCATTGCATTGAATAGCCCAGTTCTGAGTTCCGAAAGCTCTCACTTTCAAAACGAGGCTAAGTGCGAAACCTTTGTTGTGAAAACGAGTTTTATTTGCATAGGAATAAAAAAAATCATTTTCACATCAATGGCTTCACACTTAGCCTCGCTTTGAAACAGAGGCTTGAGGCAACTGGGGTATGCCCCATTGTATTGTACAAACGGGTCAGTATTGCGAGTGTCCTAATTACGACTTCAATGATCAACATGCCAGGGAACGGTGCTTAAGAGGACATAACGGATCTGGTAGAACTTACAGACCATGATACTGGGGCGAATTAGGCTTGTTTGTCCTTGCTGTCCAGCTGAATTTTAACGAAAACGAACCTGTGAGGATTTGCTTGCGGTTCACACATGCGTTGTAACACAAGGCTTCTGCGCATGCGCTTCCTTTACAAGATAGTTTCAGATGGGGGATGGCCAGGGTGATGTTTCCTTCGAGATTTTGGAGTCGTTGGCTTAGAACCTCCGCCACTAGAGAAGCTTAATTCATCCGCTTCTATTATAGTGTCATGCCCAATTTTCATGGCCCCGTTTGCATTTCGATGCCCCGTCAAAGAGGTCGAGTGAAGACCATGAGGTACATCCAGCTTTCCCTGATGCACGTTCAGAGGCGAACCGATTTCGTTCACCTCCTTAGCCACTTTTCGTTCCATCATGGGTGATTTAAGCACAAGGTTTTCGAGATTCTGATACGTGACTGCACTTGCATTTTTAGCATCCTGCCTTTTACTTAATTCCAGTTTGTAGTAATATTCAAAGTTGGAGACGATGACGGGCACAGGGAGAGCAATGGCGAGCACGCCAGATATGGCGCACAGGGTTCCCACTAATTTACCTGAAAATATAGTGCAGTTTGTAAGTCGGTAACAAAATAAAACAAAGATTCACGCTCTCCAGATTCTGTTACTTCTAAAAGAAAGTTATCTTTGCATGGTTTATGATCATGCAGGAAAATATCGGAACAGCTTGGTTACCAATAATTTTATTCAGCTTCAGTTTTCATTAGCCAGGGCTGAAATCAACTTTTCTCAACGGTGAAGAATTCTTATTTGCATTAGACATTAGAAGGGATAACCCTCGATGGCACCTTTTTGAAGTGGGTTATATGGTGTGCGGTGGTGGAGAAAGGTAGGTTTTCAGTGATATAATCAGAAGTGGATGCCGGAAATGGATGTCGGAAAAGAGGGCTGTGGCAACACTTTTTTATCCTTCATACTAACAAACGCAGGACGCACGATTTTCAAGGGAGCAGGAGTCCAGGAATGGGCTTCTAGGGGCTCTTGACGGAAATAAGCCTTAGCTGATGGGTTCCCTGGAACGTTCCTCCACTCTCTAACAAATTACTCAACTTACCAACGGTAGTGATTGGATAAACGTCACCATACCCAACGGTTGTCATAGTAACGACAGCCCACCAGAACGCTGCCGGTATGCTTTTGAACTTCGGATTCGATGCCTCCTCGGCGTAATACGCACCGCTCGCGAAAAGCACGACGCCAATGACTAAGAACAACATCAACATGATGAGCTCATTAATACTCGCGTACAGCGTGTTACCCAAGATATGCAAGCCTTTGGAGTGACGTGTCAGTTTGAAGATCCGACAGACACGTATCACCCTCATGACACGGAGAATACTGATGCTCTGCGCAGATTTCTTGGCCACGCTGAGTGTGACGTAAAACGGGAGAATTGAAAGAAGGTCCAGGATGTTTAGAACCCCTTTGAGGAATTTAATCTTGTTCGGAGAAGCTATTAAACGAATCACGTATTCGAAAGTGAACCACGAGCTGCAGACTGCGTTCAGTATGAAAAACACGTGGGAGAAATCCTTCAAGACCGGCAACGTCTCAATGCAGAATATTAAGATGGAAAGCAAGATAATCGCTAACGAGAAAATAGCAAGGCACTTTGCAGAAAGAGACGAACTCGGGAACTCAAACAACAGCCAAATCTTCCGCAGGGTTTTATTCTTAGGAAGTTCCTCAGCCTCCCCTTCCTCCTCCTCATCCTCGCCATTTTCTTCTTCTTCGGCGAGAGCAGCTTCTTCGTTTTGCTTTTGTATTTCATCGGTTAACTGAAAGAAATTCAGTTCCTCGACGAAAATATTCATGGGCACGTGAAGAGGCCGCTCTATCAATCCCCCAGATTGGTAATAATACAGAATAGCAGTGAAGGCACCGCGATGACGATCGAAAAAGTACTCGTTCTTCTTCTCATCAAAGTATCGTTTGCGTTTTTCAGGATTTCCAAGTAGGGTGTTGGGAAACTGGTTCAGCGTATTCTCATACGTTTCGTATTTTTTGCCGCCAATGTTGATGGTGATCGGCGTTGATAACTTGTCCACGGCGACCGGCACTGAGTTGGCAATCGACCAATCACGCGACGAGGTGCGAGAACGCCGATAACTGAGAGTCACTGCAGCTGCTACGGCCATTGCCATAAATATAAGACTTCACAGGCTCTGAGGCCAGAAATTATCGTCAAACTCTCCTTTTACAATCGTTGTTTTTCTTACTCGATATGCCGAATGTCAAACCTTCTTCTCCGCGTACGTTTTTGACTCCAAATGCGTGGTAACAATTAACCCATAGTTATTTCAAACGCCACTGTTTCTTTGCATTAAAACTGATCACATTTCCACCCACATCCAAATGCTATATAATCCCAAAATGAGTCTCTTTAAGTCTTTCTTTGATTGCAGCGACAAGGAAAACTTCTAAATTATTAACGCACGCAGCAAGAAGCTTTTATAATTTTGAAAATCGACAATTCCCTTTTTATGCTTGATTTTTCAGATGGTTTTCACATGCTACCAGAATTTGTGAGCGAAAACTTAAAATCACGAGGGCAAAATTTTGTGCGAAGTTTTCACCTTTTAGGGCCAAAGCCGTTCGATGGAGGACCATTGAGCAACGAGTCAGCCTATAGTTAAATTCTTGTTTTAACTATCAATTCATGCCACGTTGGTTGCGTGGATCAGAAGCCTTTGGGAATCCTGCTTCTAAGCCTTTGAACGGTTCTTTAATTCTTCAAGACGACTCTAGAAAATTAAAATCAGCATTAGTTGGTTCACAGTCCATCTAATTTAGTACGGCTTTCACATCGTGTCGCACTACAATTAAATTGAACCAGATTGGTCCGAACATATTTGTTCTTTCTTATAAAGATGTCTTATTGCAGATGGTTTTCTGGCACTCTCAGTACGTGGCTATAGGTTAGTTATTGCCTTTCTTTTTGTCACACCTTCAGGGTTCCAGATGATTTTTGTCAACAGCGCAATTACACCTATATTGCCATCAACCGAAACCGCCCTTAAGGAAAATACGTCAAATTAGTTTTATAAAGCGCGTTTAAATCATTCGAGAAAAAGAAAACTATTATTTGTTTTTAAACACTTACTTTCGTGACAAGCTTGTTGACTACTTAGTCCCTGCATATTGTGGGTTGTCGACTCCATTTGCCTTAGCTGTGATTAAACTGGCCTTACTAGTAAATGTGAACAATTGTGCGTAGAAGCAGATAATTCAAAAGTCGAGTCTTTGCCATAAAAGGCTAAGAGGTAAACAAATTAAAAAGACTCTCTGTACAATAATATTCATTTTTAAACATCTTATTTTTGTTCGGAATCGAGTTGTTTTGAATTGATTACCCACTATGACGCATGTAGGATTCCTTGCAAGATTTTCAATCCTCTTTTCTACTGCTCGAGACACTCCGCCGCAAACCTTAATTTCCCCAGAACTATGACACGTAAGAACTTCCAGCTTTTACAAACTGCAGACAAAAAACTTCAGACTATTTCGAACTTCAGCCTCTAAACTAATGATCTGGCATAATTTGGATCTCTCCAGCAAATCCGTGCTAACATCTTTTGACTTTTTTTATTGATTGGGACAGGTGTTTAGCAAACGTAATGATTAAAAGACAAATATTTAATGGCTTTGCCAATTTTGGCGCCAGCTTTGGGGAGTTGTGGCTTACTGTCAAAAGTACCGCAAAACTTCAGGCGCAACGATACTCCTTCTGATGAAAAGTTTCAAATAATTTTTTCAATAAATCGGATTGCAATGACACTTTCGATATTAATTCTAGTTAATTCTAAGCTTAACTGAATGGTTGGTTATAATAACAGATAAACGCGACCCGAAAGGTGTTAATTGCAGTCTAAACTTATTCCTCCCTCGGAAAATAGCTAAGTATAGCAGAAAAAACAAAACCTTTCTCCTCAACCAGACAGATTTAAAGCGAAAAAAACCCTTTAACTCTTTTGACCCTCAAGTGAAGCTTTTTGCATAGTGTACCCCTGCCAGAAGCTTCCTAGTCCGTGGACATGGAAAAAATATTCAGCCCGCTCTATACCTTTGTTGCAACCGTTCAATAAACTCAAGGGAGAATGATAACGTACATTTAACTTTAAAAAAACTTAGGATCGTCTTTTAATAGAGCTTTGTCACGAGAATATTGCTGTCTTTTCAATTCTGAGCAAATAGAGCCTTCACCCAAAAACTGATGCTCCTTAAGAGCTATAAAGAACCATAATAATGTTCTGCATGGTGACATTTGCAGGTAGAGCATTAAAACTTGAAAAATTGAGTTTCAATCCACGACCATCCTTGTCATCCGTTGCAACAGACGACAGAAAACAGTTTCTATATAGCCTTAAATAACAATTCAATTCAATTCAATTAATGCGAGTACAAGTTTTAGCTTTTTAAAAGACAGCAAATAGCGCGACTTAGCCACTTCAAGTATGAGAATAGAAGAAGTACAAAAAACTTATTCTGAAGTTGCTTTCATTATAATGGTCACTCTTTTAAATTTCTTCTCTGGATCACCTCATTTAAATCAATAAAACAAGTTCTTGCATGTCGTCTAAATTTTGTCTCAGAAAACGGGGTTTTTGGAAGAAATTTCTCCAGGAAAGATATGTCAAAATAAAAACACTATTTTATTCCTCAGGGACGAAAAATGTTACCAAAAAATGTAGACTGGACCAGGAAAAGTTGTTTTTTTTTGGTATGGATGTTTTCAGTCAAAATTTACATACCCTCAAATCTTGACCAGCGAAAAAAAGGTGACATAAAAGAAATGATTATAAATAATAATGGTACTTGGAAACTAAGTGCAATAGGAAGACATGAGTGTCCTTACAATAATCTCTTCAAGCACACCAATAAACAACCGTTTCGATTCACTGAAATGATTTAAAAACCTCACTGTTTCTTTCCATATATTTTGCGAACTGCTACTAGAATGGGGTAAAGGTAGTGAAGGTGTAACCGGCTACTTCACTCGAGCAGAGCTTAAATTAAGCTTACATAAAGTAAAAACTCGCGACGAAGAACCTGGTTTTTAAGAACCTGTTAGGCTGAAATTAATTGGCCAGTTAGGCCCCCTCTATACAACAACCTTTTTTAACCTAAAATTTGAAACAGGTTCTTATTTTCTAAAACCTCTTTGGGAATATAGATGTCTTATCACTCCAACTGCAATGTAATGGTATGCAGATTTTATCTACGGAATAAGCTGATTATGCCACTAAATACTCTTAGTTTCAATGTATTGTTTTCTTCAGAAAGTAAGAACCTAGTTATGAACATACATAGCCAAAGTTAATTACCACTTAGGTAGGAACCTGTTTAGACTAACTTGGGAAAATGTAGGTTCTTAGTCACGGGTTTTCACTGTACGGGTAGACACCGCTGCAGACAAAAAGAGCGGGAAAATGTGTACGATTCCAACACCAGATCTAGACGCTGAAAAGCAAGCGGATTTTCAACCAATCACGTATTCCTAAGGCATCCTCATATCAAACCGATAATAAACAGGCCCAGTTGTTGGAAGGCCGATAAGCGCTAACCTGAGGTTAAATCATTAATCCAAGTTTCCTTTTCATTTATTTCAAAGATTGTTCTAGGATACTTTTTTCTATTCTTTTAAGATCATCCAATCGTCATGTTGTATATAAAAAGAATTAAACTGAATTTGCTTTTCAAGCTTTCATATCTGCATGAATTCAAATCTTTAACCTGGGTTATCTTAACCCTGCTTTAAACAACCCAGCCCGGGCCGGCCCTGGCCTGCGCGCACTATCGAGACCTAGTCTGATAAGCGCTATTTTCGGGATTTCTGGAGTCAGTTTAATAAAACTTTTAGAGGTGTTACTTACAAGTGTAGCCAATGATTTAGACTCTGGAAACAATGGCTACATTTGTAAATTGCACTTGTAAAGGTTTTATTAAATTGACCCCTGAATGTTCATTAAATTGACCCCTGAATGTTGATCAAACAATATGGCAGCGTTTAGAGCTCAGCGATCGCTCGTCACACTTAAAAATCGGGGACTATGAAGAACCGGGGTATTCGGGTACCTTTCCTCACCTTGCGGGCCCTCGAAAGTTCCGGTAACTTTTCGGGTCCCAAATCAAACATTCAGATCAGAACCTAAAGAATAAGAGCGCGGGTCCTAGCTGTAGTCCATTTTGTTTTGTTAACTGATAGTTTTATCATGTTATCTGCAAAACTATCCCGAATGTAAACAACACCAGCTTTTCGGCCCCACGAATTATTGGGATTTTCGAGAAACTGGCCCCGAGTTGCTGGAGTAAAACATGTTCAAATAAGAATGTGTTTGCAATCAAATAATCAAGATCTGTTGGAACTGAACAAGTACACATGAGAGACGTTAAGATACACCGTTCCAAATCAGTCACCCGTACAAGTACTCATATATACAGCTATTTCGAGAAACCGGATTGTCGGAGAAAATGTGCACGCGACAATCCCGAAGGGTAATATGGGATATGATCAATACACTGTTCCTGACACTGTAGCTGTCGAACCTATACTTTTGCTGCGTTCCTGTGCACTCGAAAACATATCTCCATGGCCTCTCGAGCCATTATTTTAAATTTCTTTGAGCAACATTGAACTTAAAACCACCCACAATAACTCTCGGTATTGTCGCGTGCCCTTTTCCGACCTTTCTCGAACATAACCCCTGAGAAACGACAAGGCTACCGGATAGAATGAGGCTGTTGCAACGGATAGCAAGAATGAACATAGATTGAAACTTGAAAACATGTGTCAACTTTTTCAAGTTTTAATATTATGCCTGCAAAAATCACCAGAAATATTATAATTGTGGCTCGTGCCGCTAATGAAATATGTTTGATATCTTAAGACGCTGAGTAATGACTTCACAGGACTTCAGCACATAAATGGTCCAAATCAGCAATTTCCTCGACACTCAGCCCCTTCAAGGTTCCTTATTTTATTCTATTTACTGGGCTGAAATTTCTGTTATGAAAAGAAGACAACAACCAGGGTCCGGTTGATCGCACACCGTAATTTTTAGGGAGTTATTATAACTCCAAAAATGGTGTAAAAATTTTAGGTACAGGATAACCCCTTTTTTAGGGTTATTTTAACTCCTAATTT